TGTGTGTGTCATTTGGATGTTAGGCTGCGACTGATTGGTATGCAGCGCCGGTCGTGTAACTCACTTTGCACTTCTGCAGCCGCGGACAAGAAGATCGTGGAGGAAGTCTTCAAAAACGCCATCGGTGGACTCTCGCCGGAGGACCAGAGTCTGCCGCAGGTGGAGAGCGTGCTGCCGCTACTCATGAAGGGCATCGGTATTCACCACGGCGGCCTCCTGCCCATCCTCAAGGAGACCGTGGAAATCCTCTTCGGCGAGGGTCTGATCAAGGTGAGGCATCGTTCTTTCCACGCCGTCGCGATGGCAGAACCCGTGTGCTTCAAAAAAAAAGAGCTTGTAGAAGCGTTGCAGGACTGTGTGCCACTTTGACGAAGTGGCTATTTGAAAGTGGAGCGAAATTAGCCCAAAAGATTTGATTTACCGCGTGTATTTTGTCGGCTTCAGTGTCTCTTTGCAACGGAAACCTTCGCCATGGGCCTGAATATGCCCGCGCGAACTGTCATGTTCACGTCGGTGCGCAAATACGACGGTGTCAATTACCGATGGGTAAGTGTGTCGTCAAGGTACACACACACACATACATCCTCCTTAAGCACAATACGTAGTTAACGTGAAATTGGTTTTTTTTTCGAGGTCACCGCGGGTGAGTACATTCAGATGTCGGGTCGCGCAGGCCGACGTGGAAAGGACGCCAGCGGGACGGTCATAATGATGGTCGACGAGACCCTCACTGAGGAGGCCGCGCACGCGATTCTACAGGGTGACCCAGCACCGCTGAATTCCGCTTTCCACATCACCTACAACATGCTGCTGAATCTGCTGCGCGTTGAAGAAATCAACCCCGAGTACCTCATGGAGCGAAGCTTCTGCCAGTTCCAAAACTACGCCTGCCTGCCAGATCTCCACAAGGGTAGGTTCCAGTTGGGGTGGAAGACTCGGTTATTGTTGCCAGTCGTTACCTCCGTTCCTTTATTTGCAATAGAGTTATTACAACTCCAGGAAGAGTACAACACAACAAAGTTGGAAGACGAGAAGCTGGTTGAGTCCTTTCAGCAAATTCGTCTTTGTTTGCGTGACGTAGTTGAACAGCAGTGGAAGTATGTTCGGCGGCCCGAGTACATCGTCTCATTCCTCCAGCCTGGCCGACTTATTAAGGCAAGTCACCGTGGTGTCCCTGAGTGTTCACGGATGAAACCGTTCTCCCCGGAACCAATCTGTGCGTTTAGATTGAAACCGATGGCGAAGACTACGGCTGGGGTGTTGTGATCAACTTGAAGAAACGTCACCGGAAGGATCGCGTGTCTGCGTCGGAGACCTTCTATGTCATCGACTGCCTCCTCTCCAGACAACCACCTTCATCGTCTAGTGCCTCTTCATCGGCCACGGCCGAACAGCCGACAACACCGAACGCCGAGATCCTTCCGGTGCGTCTGGACTGCGTCTGCGGCATCAGCGCGGTGCGTCTGGTGGTGCCGAACGACCTGCGGTCGCCGGAGGCGCGCAACAACCTCTACGCGTCCATCGGCAAGGTCAAGCAGAAACTCGGCGGCTCGGGACTCCCGCTACTCGACCCAATCACCGACATGCACATCAAGGATGCCAAGTTCATGGCAATCACGGAGGTGCTGTGACGCACTTTGGCTGATTTCTGCACAGATCGAAAAACAAAACCCTGACTTTGCGCTTTCCTGGTGTGTTTAGAAGGTGCGGGCTTTTGAGGAGCGGCTGAAGGCGCATCAGCTCAACGACTCCCCGCGCCTGCCCGAGCTCCTGGCCGCGTACGAGCGTCGTGAGTCGCAGCGACGTCGCATCGACGAGCTAACCGCCACCCTCACGCGCAAGGTCTCCCTCATCCAGATGGACCAGTTGGCGGCGCGCAAACGCGTCCTCCGCCGCCTCGGCTTCTGCAGTGAGCACGATATCATTGAGTTGAAGGGACGCGTGGCGTGCGAGCTCACCTCGGCGGACGAACTTCTGCTCACCGAGCTCCTCTTCGAGGGCATCTTCAATCGCCTCTCGCCCGAGCAGATCGCGGCCCTCCTCTCCTGCTTCGTGTTCGAGGAGAGGGCCTCCCAGATGCCGAACCTCTCGAGGGATTTGGCCGATGCACTTCGAACGCTGCAGGTAATCGGTTTGTTACCTGGGACCCGATGCCACTCACGTATCAGTGGAGGTATCGGTTTCAACTAGTTGATCGTATTGAGATCGGAATCCACAACGACGCAGTCGAGGGCATAGCCAGAGATGTGGATTACCTAGGTGTGCTCTGATTGGGTGCGTGTGTGTGGACCAATGAGCGCTAAGCCCACATGCGGTGATTGGCTACAGGAAGGCATTTATCACAGTTAAAATTTTTCTCCCCTTTAGGACACAGCACGGCGCATTGCTCGCGTGAGTAACGAGTGCCACCTACCCCTCGATCCAGACGTCTACGTAGACTCCTTCAAGCCGCATTTGATGGACCTCGTGCTCTCCTGGGCCAACGGCGCCTCCTTCTCAAGCATCTGCGCGGGCACAGACCTCTTCGAGGGCACCATCATTCGGTGCCTGCGTCTGCTCGAGGAACTCCTGCGTCAGATGACGAATGCCGCGCGCACCATCGGCAACTCGGCGCTCGAGGCGAAGTTTAATGAAGGTGGGCTCGCGAAAAAGGCGCTGTTTACGTGTGCCAAGTTTTGAAAAACTTTAAGGTGGTGGTGACGGCAGTCCCATTCTGGAAATTGTTCACTCAAGGCTGACGAATGCTCTGTCAGACTAGGGAAGTCAACTCACGTGACGGTGGGCAAGATTCTAGATTAACTGCGCCACACACACACACAGCAGATTGGAGGGGTCGTTTAATTGAGCCTTATCGCTGGTGATGAGAAGTGGATCGTCGACACTTGCGTTCGAGGTGAACCAGCACAGACCGCATCGAAAGTTAGACTGTACTTCTTACAAATGACCGAAATTCTTTTATTGCCAAACAGTCGATTGTCGAGTATGTTGATGTTGGACAACTGAGGATCCTTTACTGTGCGGCAAGAAGTAGCCATCAAAGTACCTACGACGCCGCATCTATCGCTCAGTTGGGGGATGTGTTGAAGTCATTGTAAACTTGGCTGGTGAAGCAACGCAAAAACCTTGTCGCTGGAAGATGATAATCGTCCTTCGATGACACCGTCCTAAGGGCCTTCACGCCACAGCTCAGTGTGGAACCAGCAAATTAGACACGACCCAATCATCGGCAGTCATTTTATGCACTGAACTCTTTATTCGGAGTTAACAATTATCTGTGTTTTGTATCTTGGTGACCTTGCGTAGTGGTTTTTTAAGGAACCAATTGGGACAGCCGTATTTGGGGTCCCCTACGTACCATTTATGGTTTGTTATTTTTTAGCCATTGAAAAAATCAAGCGTGACATCGTCTTCGCAGCCAGCCTCTACCTCTAAGTCAATCACTCCGGAGTTCTACAGTTTCCAGCTTTTGTACAGACCTCGTTCCTACCTTCAGTAAATCAAATTTGTACTGCAAACGTCCATATTCTTGCACTTATCTCCGATTGTTTTTTTGATTTGCGTGTGAGAGGTGGGTGGTGCTTTTCCAGTCTTGAATCATTTATGGGGTATCTGAGAGGGGTCCGCGATAGTCGTGTTTAAATGAGTTTGATCGACTCAATGACAGGCGCCCACTACCGGTTCAATCAATTGAGACAACTTTGTCACCTCTTGCTTAAATGGCAGGCATAGCGCGCACAATGCACGTATTTACATGTGCATATTTAGTAAATTTACACACACTTGATTAGTAAGACACGCTATAAAAGGCTTAATTCCTCAGAGCTGTTGTAAAAAAACGATTAAAGTCTAGACGTAGTAGGAGCTGCGCCAAGTGGCCGCCGCCGCAAACTTGACGGTGGCCCGGAAGTCCCGTTGCCTGGAGGCCCACGCCGACTCCCTGGCTGGAGGCGGCCTGAGCAGCGGTGAGGGCGGTGAAGAAGGTGGACGAGAGGTGTTGGAAAGTAGCGCGGGCCTGGAGGGTGGCGTGGCGCGGTGCGTGAGTGAACTGGCGGCAGGCGCGCAGGAGTCTGAGTAGGGTGGGGCGGATGATGGGGTGGAGGAGGAGGGCCTGTGACTCGAGTCCCGCCAAGTACGTCTCGTGAAGGGCCTCGAGCCATCCCAGGTGTTGTGCTTGACGCTCGCGCTGGCTGTCAAATCGCTCCATGAGCCTCTCAAATGCTGACGCGATCACGTCAATCTGAAGGGGAAAAAGGTGAGTGTGTAAAATTCGCTGCCAAGTTGAGAGAAGAACTGGCAACCGAACTACTAACCTGTAAATAACAGTTCAAGTTGTTGACAATGAAAGCCATACGATGCCGCAGAACCATGCGCTGGTCCAAGTCACCCTCCAACTTCATCCGACTCCTGTCCCGCAGCCAGCTGGTGCTGAGCACATGCTCGGTGCGTCGAACAGTCAGGAGGAAAGAGAAGAGGCGCAGGTAGGTGCCACGGGCGGCTTCCGTGAAAATTGTCTCCAGACCCGCTGGAGGCGAAGTGAACTCCAAGCTGAGACAGTCCCAGGCGGTGAGGCGGGAGTCGTCGTCGTCCTCGTCACCGTCAGTCAAGGTCTCATCGTTGTGCGGATTCATTGACACTACGAACCTGACAAAACGAGAGCTAGTTAATTTGATTCTTTCAAGTGGTCCAGCGGAATCAAGCCTACGCCGCTTGCACGTCTCCATTTGGTGTAGAAATGACCAACAACAGCTTTGTTCATTAAAGCACATCCTTCAATGGCACCTTTACTTAAACACATGACTGTCCTCATTCGTTAACCTGTCCAAACCACTTTGTCTAAAACCGAAGTCGAAGGCAAGATCTGCAGCTTGATAAAGAATCTAGTCTGTAATTAAGTGGCTAGAGCAAGCCATACCACCAGAAATACTCAAAAATAGGTTAAAAACCAGAGGCAGACAGAGACATGTCATCGTTAGACGAGGTTGCTTCTCCCAGACATGTATACCACGACGTCAAGTTTGTCACTAACTCCTCGCATACTTAAATAACAACGCATGTAAATAATTGGGGAACAATATCAATTTTGGGGGAAAAGCGATATGCAGAAGTTTATGCAGTAATTAAATGTGTTATCTATGAGGTTTTTACGAACGGTTAGAAATTATTTGACCGGGATAAATATTAACCAATAATGTAGCTACCTGAAACGGCTGGCCAAGTCTTCATCGTCCAATCCGACGGCTCGAGCGGCAGCAAAAAACGCGGAGTTAACCCCGTACGCAAGACCCCTGGCCTCAGCTATAGTGGCCGGAATCGGTCGATCGAGAAGATCCCTTCCACTGCCACCTCCTTCCGCCAACAAATTATCAAAGAACATGACAAACAATTCGCCTCGACCAAGAAGAAGGACGTCTTTCACCAAAGTCAAATTCTGCACGATTTCATACTCGCTGAACATCTGTCGCGAGACTTCTCCCGACACGTAGGAGCAAACCTCACGAATGAGATTCTCAAGATCTTCATCCACGTCTCCAACCAGATCACTGTTTTCCACGTCCAAAAACCGCCCACTAAACATTTCTTCAAGACGTTCAGACAATTTGCCCCCAGCTGTGCGTACCGCCTTTCCAATGTAAAGGATGTCGTTGGCAAGTGTGGGTGATATAATAGATGGGAATGTTTCGGGAAGTAAGTTGCACTCTGAATTAATACAAAATTCATCATATGGGTCATGAAGCGTGCCAAAAAGAAGCCAGTTTGAGAGTTGGTGGCGGAAAACACGCATTAACTGGCGCAACACGATGCTCTGTGCGGGTGACTTTTGTACCCGCAAAACTGAGTTTATGAGGTTGAGGTTTTTTTGGTGATCCCTTGAACAGAGGTCTAGAAGCTCTGTGAGCGAGAAGAGCAGAGGGCGAAATGGTTCAATCCGGGAAAATATATAGGTAATACCGTTGTAGGGGTTACTTAGGAGGTCCGTCTCCACATTACACAGGGCATTACGGTATTCGTTTAGGACTTCGTCAATTCCATAAGCTAACGCCGTCAAATAAAGGCTGCCAGAAAAAGGAAGGCAAAACTGCTCAATAAATCGCTGAAGTTTTAAGTACTTTTCCCCAATACTGAGCAGCTGCGACACAATGCTGATTTCGCTAGGTGTTACGAAGGGCAGTCGATCCGACAGAAGTTTAAGGCGAGATTCTGGAGTTGAAGATGGATCAGCAACCGGTGCTTGTGAACAAATATCACCAGGAAATCCATGTAGGGCAAAAATAAGTTCATGCAGCATCGAATGCAAGCAGTGAGAAAGAAAGCAAAAAAAAAACGAGAAATGGGCTAAGAGCACAAATTGCCCAGACGTCCCGCCAAACACATAGGTGCCAGACGTGATGTGTTAAAACAGGTGTAAGCCATAAAAATTTAAGAAATAAGAAAAATACCTTATAATTAAACACTATTCTTACTAGAAATTACATGTAAAAGGAATTAAATTTTAATGAATATAAAAACCAACAGCTCAATTTAATTGGGAATTTTCCACTCCCACCTGAATTTCAAAAAAATAGGTGAGCACAAAGTTATAAATTATTGTAGACATCTGATATGCAATACACTAACTACTTGGGTTGACTAATTTATTTTTGACTAATAAATATGGGTTCAGAAACCCTCCTTAAATTCATTAATTTTTTTTAAAAAAAAAGTCTTTTGAACAAAATAGATAATTTTTTCTTAGCGCACTACTTATCTACGTCAGAAAATGGAATTTTTATATTGGCATGTGTTTAAGCCACTCGAAACATCAAATTTGTTCCAAAGCCGCCTTTATTAACTGATAATAAAAACGTTATTTTGTCGTCCGATGTCTGAACGAGTAGATCGTGCTTTTCTCGATTTCTGGGATTCATTACCTTCTGTAAGTTTGTATTGTAATTGATTATTTTTTGAGAAACCCGATACGACAATCCGCTGCTTTGATCGAGGCGTAATTCTCCTTTATGTTATCAAGTTGTTTTAGGAAACGTTCTCGGTGCATTTTAACGACGCTTTATTTGTTGGACAGCACTATTTAAAGAACGCAGCAACTATTAACTCTATCAGTGTTGGTATGAAACACTGCCTTCTCTATATGTTTTAGATGGCATTCCAATCCCTTCTATATTTATTCCAAGAAAGGACACTGATTTTTTCCGTTTCCTCCTATTATCGAAGCAATACCGAGTTGAGATGTACTCCGTAAACTCAAAATACGGAAATGAAAAGGACTGGGCACTTTCAGCACAGGTAATCACCATTTATTGTGCCTCAACATTAGGCCTCCCCTGGTAACCTTACTGAAATGGAAGAATATCTCTATTTGCCAAATGGAAATGGCGATGAATCAACCCTTCTCTCAATACTTGTGAAGTTTTCAAACGGCGAATGTGTAGGTGTCATGAATGGCCTAACATAGTTCTATTCATTGACCCGTTTTATGAACAAGGCCTCCTTTTCCTAGATCGTCTCCCTGGCGTTTTGCCATTTAGAAGATCACCGTTTTTTGATCGGGCACTTCTCCGACTCAAGTCTTTTCCCAAATCTTGAAACAGCAATTATTCAGTTGGGTGTTCGTGAATGTCTTCTTCCCTGTTGGCTCTTAAATAACGAGAACACGAAACAGGACAAACGCGCTGCGCTTCCGTTTTTGCAGTTGGTTCTGGAGCGTTCAAATGTCTTGGTTACTGAGCTTGATAAAGGTGAGGTTCCTCTGCGCTTTCAGCCCCTCCCGCCACTTCAAACTGATGTTCAATTTTACTTTTTGTCTCCTTCAGCTGAATACTTCGTGGATGACGTTTCCGAGGACTTAAGGGTGTTGCTTAAAAACGACGGCGCCTCGTCTTCCGAATCAGATTTCCTAAGCCTCTTCCGTGCAAGTAATTTGCGTTAACCTGCGAGATTTCGTGATGCACTCATTGTTTTGTGAATTTGTTTGGATTGGTTTCTTCCGTACATACGAAATAGCGGCTTGCCCGAAATCTCATTTCGCTTCTCCTATTTATTTGATTAGAAATTTACTTGAACATATGACACCTAGCTTTACAAAATGTCCGTTATTCCTGCATAAAGATTCCACCAATGAGAGCATTGGTTCCCAGTTCTTGGAAATCCTTTTTTTACAGGATCCGAACTGTCTGATGCCTTCCAGTGCTTAGGAGCCATTTTAAAATTCCTACGCGTAAGTCACTCTTCCCATTCATTCTTTCCATCTCACCTATTCGTAACCGGCCGGCGCTTTTTTCTGTCTAGCTCAATTCAAATGAGTCACTGGCGCATAATTTCACAATATCGCAGTTTTCATTGGAAAACCACGTTCGATTAGACAGTGCTGCGCTGAATGCTCTTCACCTCTTGCCCTCCTCCGATGCCGGTGAGCTATCGATTTATTCTGCTCAATGACCTTGTGCCAGGCTCTGATCTCCTTCTTATTGGTCACTTCATTTTCTAGTAAACAAATACCAGAGTGTCTATGGTGTCCTCAATCATTGTCGCACTCCACAGGGCCAGCGACTTCTCGCCGAGTGGCTCAGGCAGCCCCTCACCGACATTGCTCGCATCAGTAAGAATAAACACCTACTTAAATCGAAGTAGTAGCCGTTGTAATTTTATTAAATTTTGAGTTTACGCGCACTAGACGAGCGTCTCGACCTCGTGGAGGCCTTCGTAGATGACAGCAGCCTGCGTCACACCTTCAACGAAACCTTTCTTCGACGAGTCCCCGACCTGCCTAGGCTCGCGCGTCGCCTCCAAATGTCCAAGGCCAAATTACCGGCAAGTGTCTTTGTCTTCGTCTCGTCTTTGTCATTTTCCCATTTCACGAACTTGCCACTGAAACCACTCATTCGGAAAAAATCACACTTTCTTGGGTTAAGCAGTCGACATCTAATTAATCACCTTGGAGTACAGATGCTTCATCTTTGAACTCTGTATCGCAATTCTTGTACATCTGGAGTTCTAGATCTGGACTAGGTTCCATTGTGGCTGTATTGGAGGGTTCCAAAGGTGTGAAGGCTGCCGAACCGTGTGGCCTTCGGTCCTGGTTCTCTGTCGACATGACCGTCTAGACGTTAATGTTGTCACTCGTAGCCAATCGGAATTGTGACAACCTATTTCCATCGTAGTTTCGCCGAAAAAAGATCACTTGTGATATGTGCTTAGGTAGATGGGGGGGGAGGGAGGCGCATGCAGAGGGAACAGCATGACCCAATTTGGCACTGTCTTATCCTCTTCTCCATCTTTCCTGAGACATCGTAGGGCGCCGTGTTATAATGATAATTGATCGCGCCAACTGCCAACAACGTTGTTTGGGGAGGGGGGTGTGGGCATTCACAAAGTGCTTGTGTTTTGGGGAGTTGTTTTGCTTGCCTAGAGTAGCACTCTGCTCTGAACTTGGGACTCCTCTTTTCATTAGGGATTATCTTCAAGATCAGATCGCTTTCAAATGACCTTGCAGTGGGCGAAATTGACTCCACTGCAACGCGACTGATCCCCTACATTGTAGGCACTACTAAAAAGTGCATGTGAATATCTGACATTTCCTTGTAAGCGGTCGAGTTATTCGATGTTTTAGTTTTGTGTGAAAAATTGCGCACAGAAGCGGAAGCGGAGCTGATCGAGGTTTCACGCCTACCACATGGCCACGTCCGTTTTAGATGTCAGAGGAGCATTCGCAGACTACACACAATTGGTCTTAGGGTTCTGTCTCAACACGTGTGTTGTGTGTCCACTGGGGGGTGCCATTTCCTTTGCCTTTTCGCTGGTTTAGTTACTCGAATGTCGTTCACCCATGTTAGGAGACATGCTTGAAGTATTCGTGGAGGCACAGGCAGGACCCTCCACTCAGTGGTGACTCGCGTTAGTTCATATCGATCAGAATCTGTTTTTGCACGACTTAACCCGACTCTCAGTTGCTCTCCCACCCTCTAACCAATGGTGTGCCTGCCTAGTCCCGCCTAACTCATACTACCGTGTTGTGGTCCCCAGTATGTGGTCTTGAACCACGCCGGGGCCACGGAGTTAACTCTGATCCGATTCGCTCCCCTGATACTCGCGATTAAGGAAAAGACGAGAGATGATGTGGACACAGGCGTTTACTTCAGAGTTCAACCAAAACTGGTGTCGTTTGGTCGTGTGTGGGGTTTGCGCGTGTGTATTTATACCTCGGATGCGTGAGTCATACATGCGCTAACATCGAGACCTAGGTGTGGGGATTATCCAAGATACATATTCGTGCGAATGAGTGGGGAGTTGAGGATCCGCGCGGCTGGCGACATGCTGCGACTTGGGGAACCCTGTGTCGGAGGTGGAGCGGCCGGATTGAGGGGCGTTAATAAACACGATTCAAAACAACCACTTCGGCCTCCTGTCTACCTCCTGGTACCTTTTATTTGCAGAACTCTAGACAAACTCTTCGTCTCTTGCTCCTGTACTTATTCTGTTGATTCCGTCGAAATGTTTTGATACCCAAACGCCATTTTAAGTGATTTTCCCGCCCATAACCCTCACCTCCGTTCCACCAATTGTGACCACCTTCTGATTAACCCCCGCCAATCAGCCAAGCGCATTAGTTTTTTTGTGTGAAAAAGACTGCTCATCCGTTGTGTCCGCTATCCCCAGCACACCCTCTATCCTAGACTGGATTCACCTGCACTCTTTACATGCTCACCTAGATGCCCGTTTTACTAAGACGTCCTGTTAAAAATATTTATGTATATGGGTATTTATTGGTTACTTTTAAGTGCGGGCTGTAAAGGAGAGAGGACTGTAATTTTAGAGGTTGTTGTAGCCGTCTCGTTTGCGGCAGCAGCTGATGTTGAGGAGACAACAGTAGAGAGGGTCTGGCAGGGCCCAAGGTCGCTTCCTCGGCACTGGGATGACAATGTCTTCGTCTAAAGTGGAAAATCAGGCGGGGTTGCTTTGGTAAAAAAAACAATCGTAAAGAAACAAGCAACAAGTGGATAGTGGTCGTTGTAGTAGCCACTTGACAACGATTCCCCTCAAGGCCACCAATTAGCGACCTTGCGCCCCCAATCGATTAACCTGACTATTCTGATTGGTCAAACACTCGCTAACTACCCCGCTATCATGTAGCTTGGGCGACCCCAGACAAACTCACTTACCCAACTCGTCGAATGTTGGCGGCACGAAGACGACTCTACCATCGGCCTGTCCGGCAGTTACTTCGGCGTTTCGTAGCCGCACGGACATCACTTCTGGGGTCGTAAAGGTGGCCGTGAAAATGGCCAGGAGGAGGACGAGCAGGTTGGGGAGACCTTTTGCCAGTTCCATTGACCTGTGGATGTGTGTAGATTCGCGTAGGCATCCGGGTCATGCGTTTCACTAAATACTCACGCACGACCAATCCCGTGGCTGCTGTCTTCGCTCCGCAGCCAATCACCATCGAGTCCACTCAAATGCCTTTTGCGAAGGCGTGCTCAAATCGCCTGTTTCATTTATGACCCAAAATCTCACATCATGCTGCCTTTATTTTGTTCTGCACTTAATTCCGACTACTTTTGTGTGCAACAAGTAATGTGCCTCCAGGTGGACCTGATTTTCACACGAAACTAATTTTGATAAAACATGCATTTCTTGCGATCTTGTATCATTAACACCACCAACGCTTCAACTCCGCTTCTCCGTAGCTCGTATTGCGTTGGCAATTGCAGCCAAAAGCGGTTGACAGAGACGAATTCGGTTGGAATCTCACTGTTGATCACTTTGCTCATTTTCCTCTCTCTCTCTCTCTCTGTAGGACATCTACCGGGTGTATAGAGTTGTGTGTTCGTTGCCTGAGGCGATCAGTCACCTGCGGCGCAACCAGGGTCCACACGCGGCCCTCCTGGATCACTGCTTCGTCAGCGCCCTCCAAGTAAGCTTGCCGCTGCCCCCACCCGCCTCCATCCCTCTTGTCCCTTCACCTCCTCGTCATCCACCCTGATTTCTAGACTGCCGAGGCGAATTTCAGCAAGTTCGTCGAGATGATCGAGTCCACGCTCGACCTGGAGGCGGCGGCCTCGCGAAACGAATTCATCATCAGGCCGGATTTCGAGCCGGAACTACAGGGTACGTGATGTGCATTAACCCAATAGCGTGCCGTTAAAAAAAAAAGAAAGACGACGCACGCACGCACACGTCAATTCCAGTGTTGTAGATCCAACCAACCACCCACACCCTACCCCGGGCCATTTCCGATTACAATCAGGCCTAATTAAGTGACGCCCTCATAACCAACTAATTTGGAACGGCATTGATGTCTATTTTCCCCCAGACACTACAATAGCATTCTGTTTGCAATTTAGCGCGTCAGCTGTCAGTACATCGACACGGGAGTTTCGGTTGCATTCCCATAAACCCCACGCGGTGTCGAATCCCAGCATATATATTCTATTTATACCTCGTGCAGCCGGTTACTTATTTATGATGTGCTTCTCTTTGGTGCATTTTAGACATAAAGGAGCGCATGGAGAACGTGGAGAGTGCAATTCTACACGAATTCCAGGAGGTGAAATTGCCATGTTTAATTGTGCGATAAAAGTGCTTGGCGGTGGTAGTGGTGGAAGGGAGGGAGGGAGGGAATTATTCATGCCCCTTGACTGCAACCGGTCACGCAAGCGGTCGACCAGACAGCAGACTGTGGACCGCTGTCACCACCGCCTCCGTCAACGGGTAGATTTTAAGTGTTGAAGAGGGATCCGTTCTAGGTACCAGACAGGCCGGCAGGACGTCTCCTGGCTTCGCCTGCACTTCAGCAAATGAAAGGACCAGCTGTCTCTGGATGACACATTTTTGACGCATGTAGTCGATGTTCTTGCAACCTACGAACGCACAGATTGTACTTGAGACATTGTACTTTGCGGGGATAGGTTTGCCTGTTTCATGCGGTAGTCGAACCAATCAGTAATTCCTCAACTGGGGAAAAGCTCATCGTGTAAATCTGGCGTCCATCTGACGACAGACTGGGAAGGCGGCCTTTTGTCGGGTGTCGAGGATCTCTTGTCCGTGATCCGATTCCGCTCACACGACCGTCGAATGCTCTTGGCGTCCACAATGTGGGTTTCGATTCCACCCCCTCCCCTTGGTCGGCGTCTTGTTGAAGCGCCGCACGTTGTTTATGTCAATCACCGGCTTGCTAATGAGTGCCTAGAACTACAGATTATGCACCCATGGACTCCGTCGCGATCACTTCCACAAGGCGCTTGCACTCTGTTTTCTAGGTTGCCTCGAACGTCGGGCTGGAGGCGGGGAAGACGATCAAGCTGGAGTCGTCCGATGGCATGGGCTTCTACCTGCGTGTCACCCTCAAGGTACCTGCTTTTCTTCAAACCTCTCCCTCCTAGTTCGCGGTTTCTATGAAGTCACTAAGTGACTTATTCTGCTTCTTTTTGAGTCGGCTGTTCAACTAAACACCTGTGCTTACTATGCATTACATTTCATACGGGGCATTTGCGATTCGGGGCAAAGTGTCGGTTGAGTATCGGAGTAAATTTTGGCGCCGAATGCGCAGCCAATAAAGTGCTTAATTTGAAGGTGCCGCTTGATTCTGATTGGTTGACTTCATCAGCCAATCAGAGCACACTGGCCAGTCAACTCGTTCGATTTAGTGCCGCTATTCTAGGAAATCAGAAAAAGCCCAGAGTTCGCTAACCTGTTTTCGACGCAAAGTCGTAACTAATTGACCTACAAGCCCTTAACAAACCGTGCTCTTGCTAAATATTCTTTTGATTGATTTTCACTTTAAACCGTACAAGCACTAGAAATTTTTTGCATGTGATCCTTAGCGCGCCCAGAGCGTCTTTATTCCGATGTTCCATTTCTAACGCCTAAAATACCCACAATTAGCACTGGTTTTTCGCTGCAATATCATCCTAGATGGAGAAACAGATTCGCGGGATCAGCTGGCTGAAGAAGATCGATATGCAGAAGGGCGGTGTGCGTTGTCGATCCGCGGAGTTGAGTCGTCTCAACGAGGAGCACACCAGCCTCAAAGATCAATACGCAAAGGCCCAGCGCTGCGTGGTCAACGAACTCCTCACCGTCGCCTGTGAGTTCAGTATTGGCCAGTCCTGCTGCTCTAACGATTTGCACCCTGGTTAGAGCAGTCTTCCCGCCTTGTAGGTGGATACGCTGAACCGCTCTACACCCTCGGCGCCTGCACCGCCCGCCTCGACGTTGTTGTCAGCCTGGCCATGGCTGCTGTCAGCGCGCCCCAGCAGTACGTGCGCCCGCGGTTCGCTCGGCAGGACCCGGCGTCGGCGGGCATCCGACTGCGCGACTTCCGTCACCCGTGTCTCGAGATGCAGGACGGCGTCTCTGTCATTCCCAATGACGTCGACCTACAGCGCGGTAATTCCTTCCTTACGCTGACATGAATTACTACTTAAATCTACTAAGTAGCTATTTTTTCTAACACGATTTCTTAGCTGTGTTCGCTCACCAAAATTATTACTTTTTGCGACTAACAAACAAAATAGACCTTTAAATGTCGAATTGTGAGAAGTAGCGGCTTTGATACTCTATTTCAGTTCCAGGGTTCTACGATGCTGTAGAATTCTCGTTTTCGTTTACATGGATACTTTGATTAATCGCTAATTTTGTGCATGCATTTTGTTCCTGAAATTGAAAATTCACTTAAATTAGATCAACTTGTCGAGATATTAAAACCTGTTATTAACGCGGGAAAAAAGTAATTGCATTGTCAAATAAGTTTGTACTTTCTTGAGGCTGATTTTTCACTCCTAAATTACTTTGCTTTTTTTCTCACTACTGTTGCGGTTTAAGTAGTGCAAGGCTGAAGCTGCGTATTTTGCATGTTTTGCTTGCCTCTCCTTCAGGTAAACAAATTTTCAAGACCATCACTGGACCAAACATGGGCGGCAAATCGACGTACATCCGCGGTGTGAGTTGCCCAACGCCTTTAAAATCGGCTCTGTGCTTCTCTATTTTTTTTTTAAAAAAAAACAATTTTACTGCCGTGAAATGGACGCGATCGCCTTCCTTCGAATCTGCCGATTGCACTGACCCCTTACCGCGAAAGCGAGTCATGTTATCACTGGGTGTGTTTGCGTGCCGGCTGGATGTGCGCCAAGGTGCCTAATTTAGCAGTTGTGGCCTTTTACCGCTGGTTACCCAGCTTCCACCTACCCTTTGTGCATTTCCTGTCGACTAATTGGTCCAACACACACTGGTCTGGCTTGTTCCCACGAATTTACACACACACGCATTTCTCAGTCCGCGTCTCATCCAATTGGCGAAGCGCTTTCAAGGTCACTTCGACATTAGGCGTCTGTGTAATTGCGCATTTTAAACACGCTTTATTTACTCTAGTTGGTCATGTGATCAGGACTGAAACTAACGCACAGAACCGAGTTTATGCAAGTTTCCAGTTCGTGGAAATTGCGTGCAAAAAATGAGCAAACTCCAGTGCCCAATCAATTTACAAACAGGAGATCAGCTGAAATTGAATCAATAAATTATCGATTTTCCGTGGTCAAGAGTGTTGTATTAGTGCAGAAGTGGTTGACATCTTCAGCCATTCCTAATGGTTCATCCGATCTGTGTTCGCCGTCAACTCCATTGTCCCCAATAAATCAATAAAACCGACGCCTTGGAGAGTGCGAATAATTTCAGGGGTGAAGTGACCGAGCCGCTACTGCTGCGTCAATCGGTGAAACGCACCGCACTTCAAAATTTTAGTCGCTTTCAACCAACCCCGAGGGACGTGTTGCTAGCCCCCTGATCAGCTCCAATCACATCAATATGTTATCGATTTTATGCTTTAGTGTAGTCGTGTCAAAAGCCTTCAGCGCGCGTTCGTCTTCGGCTCAAATATAAATCGATAAAATTGATTGCTCAGTGAGTCGACGCCAGCTGTAAACCGTTGCCTCGTAGACTGGCGTTGGCCCCCTAATCAGCTCAAACCACATCAATAAGTTATCGATTTTATGCATTCAAAAGGGCTTCCGCGCGCTTGCGCTGAGTGCTTTAGTGTAGTCGTGTCAAAAGCTTTCAGCACGTGTCCCCCTTCGATCCCACTATAAATCCATAAAATCGATTGCGCAATGCGTCGACGTCTAGTGCAAATTGTTACCTTGTAGACGGGCGTTGTGTTGGCAATGGCGCAGGCAGGCAGCTTTGTGCCGTGCTCGGAGGCCGACCTGGTGCCGGTGGACGCGATTATGGCGCGCGTCGGTGCCGCCGACTGCCAACTCCGCGGCATCTCCACATTCATGGCCGAGATGCTCGAGACGGTCGCTGTGCTCAAGGTACCCTCGGTTGCACTTGCCCTAACACCCACACCCCCCCCCTCTGTGACTCTAGACGTTTGACGCTCCACGTACCTCCGTCTTTAGCTTGCGACGCGCGACTCCCTGGTCATCGTGGACGAGCTGGGTCGTGGCACCTCCACGTACGACGGTTTCGGCCTGGCGTGGGCCATTTCCGCGCACCTCGCTGCCTCAGTGGGCTGCTTCACGCTCTTCGCAACCCACTTCCACGAGTTGACGTCGATGGCTCTCATCATGCCCGGCCTCGTCGCCAACTACCGCGTCTCCGCGGAGGTGATCTCTGATGGTGACGATGGTTGCCAGCCTGGAGCTGGCTCTGACGTCGTCATGCTCTACAAAGTGGAACCTGGTGGGTGGAATTTGCTGAGTTTTCACTCACCTAGTCTCATTCCACGGTGTCTACGAAGTCATTGAGTGGTTTGGCACATCAAACTAGTACAACCCTGGACAATCACTTATGGACAACTAGTAGCGTTCACGTGTTACATTTAGCCTGTGGCGTAGCTTGCTGCCAACGACGAGGAACTTGTGTTTTACTGATGTCCAATCGTTTCAGCGGTAGATTCTACCTTTGGGGATGCATGGAATTGACCTCAGATGGTTGCATAGTGCTCGACATCTCTCCACCTTGGGTTGAAACCTAGAGGTCAATTTGCTAACGAGAATGCTCGACGTCGTCCCACGTGGTTGGTTTGTTCTGCTTAATGCGGCGACGTCTGTCGCGTTTGCTAGGTATTTGTGACCAGAGCTACGGACTGAAGGTGGCGCGTTCCATCGGCCTGCCAGCGGACCTCGTGGACGAAGCAGAAGCCGCCTCGGCCCAGGAGGAGAAGCTGGAATCGATGTGGGTTCGACTGGAGGAGGCGGCGGCGGCAGCTGCGCATCACGCCACCTCAACATATCCTCAGCAGCAGGTAGCAGTTGCGCGATTGTCTGGCTTCGATTTGGTGGTTTTTTGTGTGGTTGGCATAGGTGTGTCTTTGTACGCCCACAACCACACACCAACACACTGATAGTCTGTTTCACTGATAGTGCAGCGGCGTGTGTGCGCTGATCTCCAAAATTATCCCACACGTCGGCTACATTGAAGGCTAGAATTCCCAAACGAATCGACCAAAAGTAACCTTAATTGTCGATTGCCAGTAAGTACCGATAAGGCCTTCCACCCAAGCATCGCAGAGTGGTTTAGAAGTAACTCGTTTTACTTCATCAAATACATCAGCCCGAAACCCAATCAAAATTGCGCTAGTTGGCGCCAATCAGAAGGCCTTGTAGCGTTCAAAGCGCTACGTTTGAATTACAACTGCTGTGTTCTCCATCTCCAGCAGGAAACTGTGCACGCCAAGAAAATTGATATAGTCTACACATGAATTGACCATTAAGGTATCCCGTTTGTTCAAGGGAGCCAATTAAATTTATGAATTGGTGTAACGTCCGACGTTTGACCAATACCTAGACATAATCTGAAAAGGGATAGCCGTCTTGACCTTGTGTGACGGGCAACTTTACTGTTGCATCCGAACGTCCAATTATGTGTGCTCTGGGCAACCTTGACAGCCAATAAACTTGGAGGAGCCAATAAGAAATTGCGCGGCCGATATGAAAATGCAAATGTGTGTGCATGGAGGATTTTAAAAATAAAAATTGCATACAAATCGTCAATTTGACACAAATGAATGGCTATTTTGAAAAATCGTGACTTTCCTTGGGTCTACAATAATAATAATATTAATAATCACGATTTGCAAATTCATGTGTGGATTAGTGAACACAAAAGCAATATTTAAAGAGACTGAAA